TGGAAGAGGCTGCCCAGGGAAGTGGTTGAGTCCCCACCCCTGGAAGTATTTAAAAGACGTGTAGATGGGGCGCTTTGGAACATGGTTTAGTGGTGGACTTGGCAGTGCTAGGTTAACGGTTGGACTCGATGATCTTAAAGGTCTTTTCCAACCTAAACAATTCTATGATTCTATGATTTTGCTTTGTTGCCCTCCTTTTCCAGAAAGGACTAACACTAACTCATCTCACTCACCCCTTCTTTAAAATCTGACAATAGTCATGCTACCTGTACAATTTAAAGCTAACACAAATGATTAACGATCAAGATACTCTCTTCTTCTTAAGGACCAGAAAAGGAAGAAAAAAAACCCCACTAATACACTATTCAACTTATTTACAACTTCAGTTTTAGCAAACTATTCTCTTCTCACTGCATTTGAAACAAAAGCCAGCTCCTTTTGGGTGGGAGGAAGACAGAAACAAACTCATGTCTCATTAACAGTAACCCTAATAAAAACTTCAGGATCTAGCACTCTGCCCTTCCTCCCCAATGCTTCTTTAAATAACATAGCCATCAGGTAGATGGAGTGAACAGCAGAATGTTACAGCTACTTTGAAAAACAGCATATACCTCCTGTGGTTTTAATATCCAGCAACCAATTCCCAAATGCACTTCCCAATAGCTCAAGGGAGGAAAAAAGTGAGAAGTAACACCCAACTGAGTTTAAGACTTTTCAAATGGATATAAAGAAACTACAGGCAGCTGATTCTGCAACTAGTGTCTTTCAGCTATTTTTAAAGCCACTTGAATTCATCAAACAGAACAGGTGCTTTAAGAAAGACCTCCTGACTAGTACCTTTCAGCAACTTAAGTGATGCATAAGCAATTCAGAGCAAGATAGGAGGAAAATATAAACAAAGGGTAGAAGTCACCAAATATACAGAGAAATCAACAGCTTACTAAGGGAAATAATTGTACATGCAATTATACGTGGTCTATTGCATATAAAACCCATATTGTTTTGACAGGCATTCTATTAGGCAATTTGTTGCAACTTCACTTCGGCTGCACCTGCATTTGCAGATACTGGATCTTACTACAAGTGGATTCATAGGGCATACAACTGATGCTGAGAACTTGAAGTCCATATTATACATATTTTGGGGAGATTGCTCCAAACTAGATCTTACCTGGCTGAATGCCCGTAAGTGGTTGCAGCATACCTTTCTGTTTCATTTCATTCAAACCTGAGTAAGTCTATTCAGGGAAAACAGCACAATGAATAAAAGGAAAGTGAGTGGAGACACTCAAGAAATAAATTTCAAATGTACACTCCCAATCTGAACTAACACACATATGTTGACCTTTAATCAAGAACCCACAGCCTTATCTTGTGCCTTTTAAACATCAGTTGATTGCATGAACATGTATTACCAAGAAATGACAAACATCTTCCTTCCTGAAAGGGAAGGCTACAGCTAAAATGCAGAAACTCTTCAGACTCATCAAAAGGAAGATGGACCAAAGGGCCACAAAACTGATCACACACCCCATGAACAACATACGTTAATGCACACCTTGAAGAATACAGCTTACACATGTATCTCTCTGAATGCTATAGTTCAAAATACCAGACAACATAATTTTGGTTAGTTTTGTGAAAGACAAAAGTTAAGTTCAATAGATATGTATTTAAAATACAATTCAAGATTGGGATAGCTAAGTCAACAGCACAGACTTCTTGCGAGGTCTCATTCTACTGTGTTCAAATGCTGTGACTACAGGTTTGTCTGTTAGTTCTTTTTTGAAGCAACTCAAATTGCTTCACTAACACTCAAAATTATTATTCTTCACCTCACTTGTGTAACTCTTTCACATTTAAAAACTATTTTCAAGTTAGTTTTGCTACAACTATGCACTCCATGCTATTTTAGTTAATTTTAGAAAAGCATAATTGACAATCAAGACTAGCAGCATTAATTCCACCTGTAGATCACTACCAAAGTGCAAGCAAAGAAGCTTAGAGGAAAAAAAAAAGTCAACTATGAACACAAAAATAAAGGCAGGCCTCAAAGCATCAAGCTAAGCTTTTGTAATGTGTATAATTATTTCCCACAAAGGTGCTTTAGGAAGTAATGTGGAAGCAATTATGGATTATCACATGAAGAGAAGGGCGCACACCAGCAGGCAGTTACTAGAAATTAGAAAAACACAGTTAAAAGGAAAACAACAAAACACTAACTTCAGAGGTATCTAAAAATAGCATTTCAGAAGTAAAAATTATCAATCAGCTAGACCATAGGGTGACTTTAAGACAAGCTCATTTTAAAAGCAAAATGCAGAGTGATAAAAAGCAGTTATGGGAGAGAAGTAAAAAACTAAAATATGTTACAACAGAACCGTCCTACCACCAATATAGCTGAACTAGTAGCAGTGTAAAGACAGAAAGCAACCTCTCTTGCATGAGCATGGCCTTCTACCACTTGACATTTTTGCCAAATTATCTTCTCCAATATGATTAACAATAAAACAACTGTTGCAAGCCATTCTCACTAATAAAATTGCAGTTAATTATTTTAAACAGTTTTTACACAAAGGGTTTTTTTGGGTGGGGTCAGTAACAAGCATTTTGAGTAAAATATCTATTAAAAGCAAGTTTACGGCATTCTCTGTTGAAGGCAAGATGCCCGGGGAAAATAAAATACGAGATTCCCCCCCCCCCCCCCTTGGGGGGGGGGGAAGGGGGGTATATATACAAATTTTTGTGATATGTATTTTAAAATCTAGACTCAAGAAGCATGTGTGTTGAACTGTTCCATTCTGAGATGTCCATACACCATAATGATTGCAAGTGCTATCCAGAGGTAAAACAGATTTTCATCTTTAATTTTCATTCAGCATACCAAGGGTGGAATAATACACTTTTAATGGACAAATCTGAGCTTTTGATGTGCTTTTACAAAATCTATTTCATTTTGTAAGGGAGACAGGGTTAGTGTTATCTCTCTGTTTACTTTACAGATAGAACAGAGATTTTTACTAAAATACTTACAGTATCACTTATAAAATATTCCAACCTTAAATTTTCACAAATATCCATACTTAGAAATTTTTGTTTGTTTTACAAACAAATGTGACAGCAGGGTCTTTAGAGATAAGATCTAAAGTTTAGGGTAAAGATTTACTTTTAATAAATTCAATATAAATTCTTTGTGATACAAATTTGATTCTTCCTTTTGGTATCTAAGAAATCTTCTTCAGCACTGCAACCTTAATGGAAATTAGGGGGGAAAAAAAGTGGCTTTTTAATTATTACTCTCATTAAAAACTAGATCTCTGCTCTGCAATTTATATAATCTAGTCTACATGGTTATAAACATACCTGTGCACATTATCAAAGGACTTTAATAAACTAAATCAGAAACTTACTAGATAGGAACAGGCAAATGGATGGAAAAGAAAGAGCTGTAAGTTCAAAGAAAACACAAAGACCAGAACCTAAAGTTGAAATAATAAATTAGCCAAATGAAAGGCAATTTTGGCTCTCATGCTGCCACTTCACAGATTTTTACTCTAGTGTTTGAGGAACTTTTCTTTATTCCACATAGGATCAATCCTCACATAAACCTTTAATGTCCTT